TACATACATACATACATACATACATACATACATACATACATACATACATACATACATATACACACACATACACGTACATAAACAAACACACATACAGACAATCCTGTGACAATATGCATTTTATGGAGCTGCTGCGCAGCATAAAACGCATAAAAACTAATAATTACAGCTTTGAAGTTAAATCTCGTTTACCCGCTTTTCGACTGTCCAAGTGCATCTCCCTAGTATGGATCCCGAGTAAAGCCCAATCTCTTCGTAAATCTTTGCGTGGGCAACTTTTCGCACGCTTATTTCCACGTGTCACTGCAGTAAAATCTCAAACATTAGAAATGGTATGTTCCAAACAGCCTGTCCGCTGGTATGATCAATCACTGTATCCCGGGAAAATTTGCAGCGAAAGAAGTGTTATGTTCGAAGATCTTTTTATAAAATCAGTACCTGGATATTCTGCTTTTAGTTTTAAAAAAGATCCTCGAACATAACACTTCTTTCGCTGCAAATTTTTTCCGGGATAATGAAAAAAGTAATCTTCTGCAGGTGTCACGCTGGTACATCTTATGGGACCAGAAATGTTGGATTTAATGACGGACCAAATTTCGTTCATCCTGAAACGCATAATGAAGATTGGTTATCCAACGACGATCTCCGTGTACCAGTACATCCCGTTCTTCGCGAAAGCAAGCTGTATCAGCACGCTTCAGCATCTCCCACTTGTTCAGTATCTTCATGGCATACACCTGAACAGTTCAGCAAGCATTACCCAATCCAGCGAGAAAAACAATGTAATCTTAAATTCATGTAACACAAAATGTAAACTAAAAGCAGAATATCCAGGTACTGATTTTATAAAAAGATCCTCGAACATAACAATTCTTTTGCTGCAAAGTTTTTCCGGGATAATGACCCAGGCTGGAACGCACTAGGCGGGCCGGTGCGATTATGCGTTTTTGCACTTTTCGTGCCGCAGCAAGATCGCAAGGAATCAATGTAGCTAACCCTGTGAAATACTGCCCTCGAAGTTCGGGAAGTTAATTGTGCAACTATGTGGTATGTCAGTTGTAAGTGTCGACTTCAGAGACCCGACAAATGGAAAGTTGCTGGTTCGCAAAAAAAGGCCACGCTACAAGAGTTAAATTTAAAATTTTTTAGTCGCACATGAGCGGGGAACACACCCTTAAAATTAAAACCTCCAGCTTTTCCCGTTCCCGAGTTAGCAGTTTTCCCACCAAAATTTTC